GGAGGAGGGACACAGCTTATTTTCACAATAATTCTACCTGAAGGAAGTTTATGATCCCATGGGTTTTTTGTTTGTTTTTTTCCAGCTGCAAGATTTGAATTCCCAGAAGCAACAGACGTACACCATTTTGGATCTAATGAAAACACGAAATATCCTAACTATCACAATTATGTCAGTGATTCTTTGGTAAGCAAGCGTGGTTCAGGGGTATGTAAGCATAAAAGTAGCAAAACAGTTAAAAACTGCTCTGTGAACACTGAAGGTATTCTGAAGAGACAGGGACAAAACCAGCTTAAAAACCAACGACCTGCTAGCTGAAGCAACAAAATTTGGGTTAGGTATATTCTTCATTTCAGTAACAGCCTAGAAAGGCATCTGAGTTGTTGTTTCTTTCTGAAGCAATCAGGCATATCCTGAACTGAGCAAGAATCAGATCAGCTGGCAATGATGTGTAGGAATCCTGCCTGATGCTGGGCCTTCGGGAATCCTCATCTGACTGCAGCAAAGTCTTCTAAGGGGAATGAGGGAATGAGTCATGCCCTGTCCCCCAGTCGGAGAACTGCTGCCCAGGGCTCGGAACACCTCCATGCCTGACTTATGGGGAGAATCTTCCTATCTCTTTTGTATTGCCTCTTAAAGGGATAAAGCTGCCTTTGAAGTTCTGAGATTTCCCTGGGTTTTCCTGCTAGCTTACTCTGTCTGCCTGCCATCTTGAGCTTGATTTTGCACTAGCTGAAGCTGTACCATTTGATTAAATGGTTGTCATTTTATTTTACTGGAAATCTCAGTGAAGCTGTAATTGCTCAGAAGAGAGAAAATGGAGAGGGTAACTTATAGCCTGCCAGATGCTTAAAAGTGAGGTTTAAATTAGTGCACGTACCTACAGTGTCCTAACCAATAAGTTCCCTCAAGTGCTTTGGAGCTAAGTAAGTCTATTTGCTGCCTTATTTAACAATGTTCCTGTGCTTTAGTGAGGCAAAGCCTTGGAGTTCAGTCCACTGAGCTGCCAGTGCGTACAAGCTAATGCAGCTTTTTGGGTCGAAGGATGACTTGGCTAATATTTAAGCCAGATTCACTTGCCCATCACCAAGCACAGTGCTACAAATACACTGAGAAAGGAACTTGAGCAGAAAAGAGCTCCAAAAAGGAAAGTAATGCTGGTTCTTTCCAGACATGTCAGTACAGTTTCCATACACTGTTGTTTTCCATCCAAATGCTGACTCTCAGCTTTAATTGGAAGTGAGCTAGAGAGTTGAGACTTCTTCTGATCTGCTTGGAGTAGGTCAACAGCGAGTTCCTAGGCGCAGCAAATTTTGCATGTGTGGTTGTAGAAATCAAATACCTGTTTGAACAGCATTTCTGGTAGCACAAAGCATCTGAGGGAAACAGTGGCAGCATGTGATCCATTCCATATGCTGAAGGGCTTTTGACCACATGCTAAATTAAGTTTTATGGTAGGCAGAAAGAGTCAAAGATGTGCCACTGACTTACACAGTCTTACCTCTTCTTGCAGAAAAGTGTTCAGTTGATTTGGACAATTTTTCCACTATTTTTACCTTGCATGTCAGTTGCCTAAATTCCTTTTAATTAATTTCCCAAAATGTAAAGCATCCTGTGCTGATTCACAGCAATGTTTTCCAACCCATAGTATACCAGTGGTATATTCTGTGTTATGAAGTGAAAGATCTCATAAAAGTTCTGTAAAAGGGGAGAGTTGCAGATAGCTGTGTATCACCTTTACGTATTGCTGAGTGTTCTGCTAATTTTAAATAGTGGGCCTTTAAATTAATGCCTTTGCTGGGTTTGCATCAGGGAGGAGAAAGTTTGGCTTCTCCTCACCCTGGGATGTGTAAATACCCCTGAAGTTTTCCTAGAGCGTGTGTAACTGTGTCAAGGTTTGCCAATAAGCTAAGGCAAAGGGCTACTGAAAGTGAGTTCCAGCAAACGCAGTTTGTATATAAAAATAACCCCTCGGAGCAAGGGCTGTGTATTGCACAGCATTGTGGAAAACACCGCGTAACTCCTTTTGAGAAGAATAGCTCTAGTTGGCAGGGCACACGGAGCAGCAGGGGGGTGACTTCATACCTTCCCAGGTACACTAGGCAACTTATTTTAAGCAATTGGACCGTGAAGGCTCCTCCCATGTGAAGTGGGGAGGAGGAAGAGCTAATCTTTGGTCATTGATCCACTTCGTTCTGTGCAGTGATTTTGCTCCGGGTTCTGCTATAGCACAGATGCTGAAGGAGATGAAGTGCTTAGCGTTCTGTGCCTCACCGTTGCACCTGGACACATCCTGACCCAGTGCCTGTTATTTCCTTGTTTGCCACGTGTTAGTTGTTGGTGAAGCATAACCCCCTCTTCCCCACATCTCCCCAAGGCACGACAGGATTTCTCTCCAAGGGCAGCTGTGTGTTTCCCTTGATCACGTGGAAGCCCGTTCTCATCTGGCAGTGGCACGGTTAACATGGCAGCATTCCCAGCCACCAAGCTCTGTCCTGCTACACTGACCAGCTCAGGCACTGAGCCATGCAAGCGTGACTTGGATGCTGTGCAGCCACCTTGGGGCATGGCAGAGAAAATCACGTATTGTTTGGGTCTGCCAGGATGCCATATTCCTCCTCTCTGACTTTATACACAAAGCATGGAGGGTAATGACCCAGAAACAAATGTTCTCCACCCGGAGCTCCCTGGTAAACATAATAAAAAGCTACTGTAAGCCTCAGCAGCAGTAAAATTCAGTAGTCCAAACTTTCTGGCTAAGGCTATAACTACTAGTGATAGGAAGTGCTGTATCACGGCATTGTGAATGAGTATCACTTTTCTCCCAGGGGTGACCTGAAGTATGGGGGCATACATGAGAAGTAGTCAGCTCCTCTCCATCAGCGTGACTAACAGAGACAAATGGGGTGCCTAAAAGTGACAAACAACCAGAGCTTCCTTGCAAGATCTGAATGAGAGTGGGATGAACAGTTGCAAAGTCACGCAATGGCATCAGAAAAGAAGTTATGACCACTATAGCTGCAAGACCATCCAGCCTGTGCCTCAGCAAGGCTAGCAACAGCTCTGGAGTTACCCGGTTGTGTTAATGCTGAATGGGATTTTTTTTGTTATTGTTAATCTATTTTTATTCCTTGAATTCAAGAGAAATGTAAAAGATAAAAAGCATCGGTACCATGTGAGTGTTACCTTGCTATTTCTGAAGTCAGCACTTAAGATGCTTCAAGAAGAATCTGGCAGGCAGTGAATTTGCCTTACATAGTGATTTCTGTGCTTAACAGAGGTTCATGGCAACCTCAGGAAGAAGAGAAAATTGTCTGATCCCGTTATTCTGCTTCTTTCAGGATGATAATCTCTGTTGGTTATTTTGGACTTTCTCTCGACACACCTAACTTGCATGGAGATGTCTATGTGAACTGCTTCCTCTCAGCAGTGATTGAAGTTCCAGCCTACATTATTTCCTGGCTGCTGCTTCGCAATCTCCCTCGACGGTATTCAATGGCTGCTGCGTTATTCTTGGGAGGCTGTGTTCTTCTCTTCATTCAGCTGGTGCCTTCACGTATGGAATCGTTAGTTGATCTCAAATACGTATGATAGATGAAGTGCAGTACCATGCACTGGGCAGATGTAGAGGAAAAGTGTCCTAAGGGGACTAAATACAGATACTCATTCCCTGTCCTTGCCCCTCTTCCTTGGTTCTCAGTGCTGCTGCACAGGGAGCTCACACAACATGGCTGTTCAGATACATTTTTTTAAAGGTGGGTCATTGGCTTTGTGGTCTGTTGGGATCAGCTCTGTAGTCCAGTTTTGCTTTAGTGTACATCCTGGCAAGGTGCCCTGTTAAGGTCCAAGTGTAAAACCAGGACTAAACCAACCAGCATTTGGTAAGCAGAGGTTACCAAGAGGCTGAAGAACTTACCAAACAACTGTCTCTCTGTGGCTTGGTTAAACAGTTCTATTCAAGGGAGTCATTGTGGAAGCATTTTCGATAAGCAAAAAGCTTGTACCGAATTAGTGTTGATCGTTAACGTTTGACAATTGGAAAGGAGGACAAAATAACATTTATTGGATATCAAACCATATGTATCTTTAAGTCAGATTAAGAGGGTTATGGACTCTTACTGGTAATGATGTTGAATATGATGGGGGGATGTTGTTGCTTAGTACTTGTTTACATATTAAAGAATAAACAAAAGCGAATGCACAAGGAGTGCCTTGCTCATTTCATACAGGTAATGCACACATTGCATTCTCTTTCTCCGGTCCTTTGAGTCAATTGGACACTGATACGATCTGGTTTGATTTTCAAATCTAACTGTCCCAGTTAAAGTCAGCCCAGCTTTCTCTAATTAAATTATTGACTTGTAGCTAGGAATGTTAATGAAAAACCAAAGCAGGAAACCAAAAATAACTTGTTTCAAATGTTTAATTTCGTTTACCTTACTAAAAAGGGACATATGGCATTGATGGCAATAGCAGAGATCTGGCCCCTGATATCTGATAAGACCTCTCCAGTTCTTGCTCTCCTTATTTTTTTACTTGGCAGGAAGCCCCATTCTCAAGGAAATGAAAATGTTGAGTCCTAGTAATTCAAAGATAAACAAATAAATAAAAAATGTTGCCCATGCTTGTAAACATGTACAGGGAAAAAAAAGACACCAGATACTGGGATTAATTAGACAGGAGTTATACAAACACAGCGGAATTAAGAGATACCACGAATTGTCAGCTTTACTGTGTTTTGATTTCAGATATGCGTGTGCTATCTATTCTACTGGTGATGTTGGGGAAATTTGGGATCACATCTGCCTTTTCAATCGTTTATGTTTACACGGCTGAGCTCTACCCAACAGTAGTGAGAAACATGGGAGTGGGAGCAAGTTCCATGGCCTCCAGACTGGGCAGCATCCTCTCGCCTTACTTCGTTTACCTTGGTAAGTTAACTCATCGGTGCCTGTGCTGGGGAGGTGCTGGGGTGGGAAGCGATGCTTTTTACCCAGATCAGCGTCCTGCCTCTGTGGGTCGTTGGGATTTTCTGACTCTTCTTTGTTTCCAAGGTCCAGGTGTGTTGTGACACTGCAGGTAAAAATGGGGTCTCGACATCTCTGAGCAATGGTCATAACATAGAGAAATTGGGGTTTATGCCCTGTTGAAGAGATGCTCTGAAGACTCACAATCTTACTGATTCAGTAGGGACAGTTCTTATAGATACTATTTCCCAGTCTCTTGAGTTCCTAAAACCACACTGAAAACAACATATGCTTCGAATGCCAAACTGTGAGGGGGTTTGGTTTGTTTGCTTTTTACTGAAAGGATAAATCATGCACAGATAAAACCCTGTACCTAGGTACAGACATTATCAAAGACTTAGGGCTGATGCTTTTTTGTGTGTGTGTATTCTGCTAGGTGCCTATGATCGGTTCCTGCCTTACATCCTGATGGGGAGCCTGACTGTGCTATCAGGAATTCTGACGCTATTTCTGCCGGAAAGCTATGGTATGCCTCTTCCGGACACGATTGAGCAAATGCTGTTGGTGAAAGGGTAAGTGTTGCCTTCTGATCATAACACATCTGTTCTCTGTTCTGAGAGGGGGAGTGGGCTTGCCTGGGTACTGTCAGAGGGAGGGACTGGTTTCCGTAGCGGTTAGTGCTCTGTTGAAGATATAAGAGCTTGGCTGGAATCCTGGGCCCTCTTCCTAAGTGTGTATGTCGGTATGGACATCTCTCTGCTCCAAATTGATCATTTTACCCTGAGGACAGAATAAAAGTACACATAAGGAATGCATTTGTAAAAGTGTATTGCTTTACATACTTGCTTTTAAAGGTATAGGGACACTTTCTGGGTTATAATAATATATCTTTCTAGGTTCTGAAAGTCAGGTAAGTACTGGTGAAGGGTCGAACTCTTCCAATTTAGTTCAACTGACCTAAAAAGGCATCGAGAGATTCAGCCTTTTGCCACAGCTCTGACTGGAGATGGCACATAAACATACACCTGGTGTAAGAAAGGGCCCTGTCTAACAGAAGTCAATAGGATATTAAAATCAGGAGGCTGTAACATCAAACAGAGCTCAGGAGAGCAAAGATTTTCTTCTCTCTGTTCTCTCATCTATCTTTTAAGTCATCTTCTTTTTTTTTTCTTTCTTTTTTTTTTTTTTTTTCTCCCAGATTAGAATACAGGCCTGCATCTAGTAGCACAAGGGATTCCAAGGAGGAAGAAGAAAATCCAGAGATTTTTAAAAGCACAGCTTTTTGATGGAACTTCTGTGTGCTTCTTGGTGGAATGAAAGTTAAATGGACCTTTCTTCTAAAATTCATTCTAGAAAGGGCTAGTGGCAACACTTGTTTCCTGTAATTTTAACTTTATTTATTAATTTAAACACTGTGTTCTGTACATTCTCTTTTATATGAACATAAATACTGCATAACCTTCAATGAGATTTTTCAGCCACAGTTGTTTTAATGCAGTAGTACCACGGAACAGTATCTGATCGATCCGTTGTAACTTTAAGTGTAGAGTTCAGCTGAAAGATACTTGAAAATGAGTTCAAGGGCTGGCAGGGTACCTGGATTCCTCAGTGAACCTTCTCCAGAGCTAATGCACATCAAGAAGTAAAAATTGCCAGAAGAAACTGCTAATTGGTTTTGATTCCTTGACTTCTGTCTCTGGACAGGAAACTTATTTATTATAGTGAAGGTTATGAGAACGTGCCTCTCTGCAGTCTTACTCAAATGACTTTGCACATGCTGAATTTGTTACCAAATTCAGAAAGATGCAAAGAAAGATTTTGAGAATTAATTCTAACTTCATATGTTTTAACTCAGCATAGATTGAAAGGATTGTCTTGCACAAAACATTTGTAGCACTGAAGTTTTGCTCACAAAATTCACTTGATTCCAATGCTGATTTTCAACTGTACCTGTGTGGTGAAGTTGTTTACACCTGACCCTGGATGTGGCCTGCTTCCAGGCTGTATTTATTTTAAATGATGCAAAAGGTTTCATCTGTGTGTGGAGGGAGCGGTATTAGTTTGGGGCTCTTCCATTTCGATGTGTGTTGGAAGTTTTATGTCTAAATTGTTTTAATGTCTTCTGTGTAATTTGATGGAAATAATTCTGCTGTCTTCTGTGCTTTTCACACAAGTGCACGTACTCACGCACACAATTAATATATTTAGAGCTAAATTGTTATGCTAATCTGTGCCACTGCATTGACCTCACGGTGGGGCATACAAAGAACAAAATTCAGAATGTATTTCTCAAGTGCCAACTGTACAATCACTGTGAGGTCTGGTATTTCACTTAGCTCATGTAATCAGTGAATGGTTTTCAAATTGTTCTAAAGAAAAAAAACCAAACCTTGTTGACAGTCTGCCAAGAGATTGTTCTTTGGGTCACAAAAGCACCTGCAGCATTACCTGTGTTTCTTTAAATACACACAATATATATGTACACTCGGTCTCATTTGTGCTGTTCTGATCATGCGTTACATCACGTTTCACAGATGTGAGTGGTGGAAGACTTCTCTCTTGTGGCACTTGTTTGTGTGTGATCTGTCTTGTAGAGACTTAATAAACAGAACCTAAACCTTTGTAGCCAAAGCTGTTAGGGGCCTTATTCTCTGCTGCGGCAGCTGGTCGTGGAATTTTTGCATTTTCCTACTGTATTTAAATACATCGGTGGCATCGGCTGATTCCAGTCTTTTGTTAACCAGTGCCCCATGTTCTGTCCATGATAACCAGCTCTAGCAGTGGGACTCATGTGCTGGTGTGTGCCCTCCAGGCTGCTTGTCTTAAAAACAAGAAAGTAGGAAAAAGCCTGTATAGACTACAGTGGTTTGCCTTTTTTTTTTTTTTTTTAAAACCTTCCCCCCCACATTTTGAGCTTTATTGT